CAATGGCTGCAATTGCTTGGCAAGCTTTTCCCCACCGATTACCACTGACTTTGCTATTTTCCAGAGACTTTGAAACGTTATCTCATCAAGAGATAATTCGGAACGCAAAATTCCATCAACGACACCCTTCTTCCTCGTCGCCTCATTGCTTCTTGTATTGCTAGGATTTAGACGCTGCAGGTCTTGCAAAGTATCTATATATCCCTCATCATTGATTCCTTTAGAGAGCATATTTGGTCTCATCACCAAAAGATACATCATGTATTTAGATAGGCATCTGCTTGTTTCATATTCTTTGGAGACATTGCTTGCATCTTTATCATAACAAATCTCTGTTGCAAGATGCCAGACAAGAATGCTCCGACTGAATTCTACTTCAGTCGTGCACCACTTGTATTTCTGTAACAGTCCCTCTTTTTCCAGCACACCATCTCCCCTCTGACCTATTATTTTACTTCTGAATTTTTTATCAATGACATTAAAATCTTCCTTCATCTCCTTGGCTTTCTTTCGAAGATGTTCGAAAATAAAACTTTGTAGATCACCATTCATATCTACCCGATGCACAAACATCTGCCTCATCTTTTCATTGATTCCCAGCGATTTCAAACATCCAAGTGGCTTGTTTTCAATGCAACAACTTATCAGGTCATGCTGTGCTATGGATCTCGCCCACCTCTCGCTTCTAGTTAACTTCCTTATCAGAGAATAAATAGTACAATTCTGGGCATTCCAACCTTCACCTTCCAACCAAATCATTGTCCAGTCAGAGAAAACAAGGCATAAAAAAGCATAAAACTCGAGAAAAACAGCGGCCGCAAACAATAAATACGTGATTGTAATGTCGATATGTGAGTAGGCATGCTTGTCAGTCAGGACTTGGAATGTAATAAACGCAGTCAAAGTGAGCAGAAAGCTGATTGAGCGTAGAGTGATTCCGGCACGAGAGTAAATCAGGGGCGCTTTAGTGTAAAGCATATCGTATATTAATCCAAGCTCAATCTCTACCACCTTGAAGGCGCCTTCTGCTGAATTTTTGGAAATCAGCACCTCGCTTTTTATTAGTGCAGGAATGCCACGGACAAGATCCTGCCCCATAAACATGGATATATCCAAAAAAGTATAAGCTTGAAGAAGATAACTTCCCTCGAGAGCTTGATCACGTGTTTTTGTTAATGCCTTTAATGGATAAAAAGGCCGAAATTTTGAGAGAATAGACTTTTTCAAGCCTTCAGAGCTTGAAGAACTAAGCACCCAAGTCCTCTCTGCGTACTTTATAATGCCGACAATGAACACCGGGATTGCTATGAAAGTGAGGATACCGCTACCCAAAGACCTGGAGAAGACATAAAAAGCCACTCCGACTTGGACTACAAGACCAAGTGCGTGCCTTAAACACAACTCGTTATCTTCAATCGAGTATGCTGTGATTGTGTCTGGGCCACCAAGGTGCAGGAGTAGAAAAGGTGCCCAAAATGCCTGGATGAAATTGTTTGCTTTTTTTGAACCGTCAACTGATGAATGTCCTTGGCTCCTGGCTAGATTACCCAGAGCAACGGTTGCCACCATGTCTGCTGATAGATATGCAGACCAAACGAGAATCCTGATCCAGCTTCTGGCAATGGTCTTTCGCCGAGAACCAAATACGATGAGGATGGTTTGTAGTAAGAGACTAAGCAAAACCATTCCTCGAATCTCCCCATTGTTCCACAAATTTATGACTTCTTCAGGAAAATTTTTAAGCATTGTGTCTTTTCCTCAACAGTGAAAACTAGTTCTCTCGATGAACACCAGAAGAAACTGTTTTGTAAGATGAAAGTAAATATGGATATCTCTGAAAAAATCTCTTAAAAGGGTAAGTGAAGAGATTCTTATGAGAAAAGAATTCTGCACTAGATTTTGGGTAAGGTGTCATAAAATAGGAGATGCTGCATATTGTTGTTACAGCAAGCAAAGAAAAGGCATGGAATGCATTACAAATTAATGTATGGAAGTGAGTTCTAGGATATATCTCCTTTAAGAGCTTGCTTGGCCAGCTTTTACAAACCATAGTTACATGTACAAGTAAGAATTTGGTACTTGGCTTGGGTACAAAGCAATGAAAAGATGCTAAATAGTAATAAAGAGACTTTAAATTAGTTGCCTATTCCCCTTTTCTTTCCCTTATATACAATAGACATAGCTTTTTGGACACTTAAAGAAGGAATTCTGAATATCAATATGATGTTTGAGCACTGAAATCCCCGGCCCAAGGTTTGAATATGAGACTACGTACCATTTACTGCTAATGAGTTTCTGCCTTGCATCAGTGGAATTTTGCATCTTAACCTAATCAACGATTGTCATCCTCTCAATGAATAAAACAATGAGTTTATCCATTATCTTTTCATTCTCAAGAGATTCTAGCTAGATAGGCAAAGGCTTTGCTGCTTTGCACATTTTCAGCGGGTGAGTGAAAATATTCTTATGAGAAATTACTTCAGCAGTGGATTGTAGTTGAGGTATCAAGAAAAAAAAAAAAGAATCGCTGCATAATGTTGTTACAAGCAAAAAGAAGGTACGGGTTGCAATGCCATAAAATAGAAAGATGAAACTTCCAAGATGTATTTGCCTATAATTCTAAAGCTCCTGCAATCAGCCTTTGCAAATCAACATATGTGACTAAAAATCTTAAAATTAGGTTGCTTTGATACAGAGAAAGCAAGAGATGCTAAATATTAAAGAGATATTCAGCTTGCAAGGAATAAAAGATATAAATTAGTTTTATTTTTATTTTCTCGGTGGACAGAGTTTGGTTTCCTTTTCTTGAACACTTAAAGGGGCATTGGGGTTGGGCACAAAACAAAGAAGAGATGCTAAATAATAAAGAATGCAGATTGCAAAGACTAAGAAACTTTAAATTAATTGCATTTTCTTTTCTTCATACACAGAGTCGCTTTCTGTTTTAGAGAAGGAACACTGAACATCAATGCAGTGAGTAGAATCTTTTGACTTCATTTCTCGGAATATGATGTTTAAGCACTGAACTCCCGAAAGGTTTGAATCTGTAGCTCACATTTACCCTTGGATTGGTGTGTTATCAATACTGCAACCTCAAAACAGAGAAAATGTACCTGATGATGTGTAAGACTACTCTCGAACCTCAATGCGACTACTAGCAATTCAAACCAGAAAACTACTGCAGGATATGAAGCCCCTGATACATGAACAATGGAATCATCAATAGTATTTCTTAAAAACATTTTCAAAACTATTCAACTCAATAGGTACATTGAAAATTTTGCATGAACCCACCTGGTGAGGTGTAAGACTCCATCAATACTGGTTTGTATAACTCAGAATCCTTTGCCTGTACCATGTTAGAAGGCAACTCAAGAAAAGATGTTCCTGATTAAAATTCCGCATCGAAAAGATTTCAGGAAGAGCTTCATGCCTGTTATAGCAGCAATGCAAGGACAATGGTACCAAATCAACAATTAAAATGAGAGTGATGAGCATTGTAAAGGTGGCTTGATAGACACATCAAATGTCATGGAAACTTAATTGCATGAATACGATGAAGTACGCTTTGACATTGAAACAAGAATCATAGTTATATATTTATCTACTATATATCTATCCAGATGTATAGCAGATCAGAAACAAGGCAGCTTACCTTGTCCAGTTGAATAAACGGATTGACATGTGAAGTATCAGAGGAGGCTGGCTTTTCTTACGTTAATGGACTGTCATATTAAGCTCTGCTTCTTGGCACCTCTCCTGCCTTGGACCTGATAATTTTTCCAGGAATAACCTGTGTGTGAGAGGAGAGCTGCTTGAGATGTAGCCATTCCAAAGAAAGCTAAAAATCAAAAAGTGTTTTAAAACATTGAGCAAGTTTGCGCGTAGCATTACTGCTCTGGGCAGCCGGAAAAATAGAAATTAATTTTTTTAACATACTATTATCAAAAATAAATTTTAAAAATAAAAACTATTATTTTAATATATTAAAAAAAAAAAACCCTTCATTCTAAAAGAAAAATTCCTTCTCTTCCCCTCATCTTTCGTGCTTAATCACCCTAGAAAAAAACAAAGGCACAGCCACTACAATTCTGAAGCCTCGGCACCACGATCAATGTTAAAACCCACCAAAAATAGTGGCAATAAGAGGTGCAGTTGGAGGAAGACAGTGAACAACCACTACCGTTACCCACATCAGATCATCGTTATGAAGTCTTTCTCCCTCAGTGATCGATTAAATGCGATTTGGTTTCATCCAATTTGGGTTTCTTTTGATTTACGGGAGGTTCTTGAAATGGGTTTGTGGTGGATAAGTAGATTTGAAGGAATCTGGAGAGGGAGAGAGAGTATTTAAAGATTGTTTTAGGATTTCAAGCTTGAAGATTGCTTGAAGATTTAAGTCAAATACCTGAATCTTAAGCTTTTCTTACTTCATTAAAAACACTTCAGAAAAAATATGGTGTGGCCCATGATGGGCGGACCACATTCCTTCTCGAGAAGCTCTAAAAAATTTAGAATTAAAAAAAAAAAAAACACTCTAGTGTTATTAAAATTAAAATAACGAGATTAAATTTATAAAAAAATCCAAACGCAGCGAGATACTCAGTTCACCACATTCCTACTCCTCCTTCTCGAGGAATTCCAAGCTAAACTTGCCCAAAAAAAACGAACTCTCATTTTCAGAAGCAATTATGATATTAATAAATTAATATTTTGCTCATGTTTTTTCTGACTACGGAGACGACATAGTACTCTTATTTGAAGACTAAACTCATCTTATTATTTGATAAAGATTGAATAATCCCTTGATCGATCATCAGTTTGTGCATGCAGGTGAACCTGCATGAATCCCATGCTATGGAGTTGATGCAACTAGAAAAGACCTCAACTGCTCAAGCTCTCGCTCTTTACGCTCAAGCTCTTCGTCCTTATATGCTACCATCCTTTTCAGTTCTTTCACCTCCTTCAAAATAGTTGTAATTTTGGAACTCAGCATGAATAATTGCCAGATCTTTGATTAATCTACGCAACTTTTTCTTATTCAAAAAATAGAAATTAGGAGTCCTATGAATTTCAAGTTAATTTTCTCATTCCAATAGATAGAGGTAATTTGACTAATCTCCTATTGTTAATCAATCAACGTTTGCTAGCACATTAAGTACAACTTTGTATGGTGTAAAAATTCTGCAACGCAACATGAATATGGCTTTAAAAATTAAGTATTTAGTATTCTGATGAAATATATTTTTTAAAAATATATTTTATTTAAAAATACATTAAGATATAATTTTCTAATGAACAATGTATTTTATTTAAGGAATAATACAGACCAAGCTAAAAATTGTATGGATCTAATATTAATTGCGGTGAAACATCATTCAGATTGTTGTCAAGAATTAAAGTAGCCATCAGTTAACATAATAAAATATTTAATATTACCAAGCAGCTTCTAGCTCAGTGGCGTAAGGTGCTGCTCGCCTTTTTTCGAACTTTGGTTCGAGTCCCAGTGGGAGTGGGGTTGGCAAGTGGTGTCCTTCCTGGTTCTGCTGGCTCCTTGCTGTGTGGTACGCTTGTCACCCCCGCGGTGCCTAACCTGTTCACTGAGGCTTGCAGGATGTCCAGTGGACCGTGGGATTAGTCGTGGTGCGCGTAAGCTGGCCTGGACACCCACGTTAATAAAAAAAAAAATATCTAATATTAATAATTTATTCCATAGTTTTCTTAGACACAAAGATCAACATATGGTAATCGATGGGGATAATGTACTTGAGAAAGATTTTTGGTAGATTTATCCATGGCAATACCAGATCATAACCACGTATGTAATCATTTAATGAATTGTAGTCTTTGAATGAATTGTATTCGTACTGTTCGCTCAAACCAAGATGTAGCATAAAAAAGCAGACATAGATGAGCAACTCTCCACCTCTTCTCAGTTGTTAAGAGTGTTTTTTCCATGGACAATGAGCTGCTGCATAAGCAAGCATTTCCATCCAAACTTCTTTGATTATCTCCCATCGCTTCTTAAATCCCAGCAAACGCAATTGCTTGGCGAGCCTATACCCACCAGCTACCGCTGATTCATAGTAGAACAGAATTGCATCTACAACTTCCTCCCTGCTTGTCGCTGGGCTTTTAGTGGGTGCTTCCTCCTTACTTATGATGCTATCCAAGTCTCGCAAGGAATGTAGATATCCCTCATCACCGATTTCTTGGGATACCGTATCTGGTCTCATCACCAAAAGATACATCATGTATTCCGATAGACATCTACTTGTTTTATATTCTGAGGAGACATTGTTTGCATCTTTATCAACACAGTAACATCTCTGTTGCGAGATGCCAGACAAGAATGCTTCGAATGAATTCCATTTCAGTTGTGCTCCACTTCAAGTCCTGTAACAGTCCCTCTCTTTCCAGCACACCATCTCCTCTCTGACCAATTATTTTTCTTCTGAAATTCTTATCAATGAAATTGAAATTTTCCTTAATCTTCAAAGAGTTTTTTTGGAGGTGTGATGTTTTTTTAATATAGGATAAAAAATTTTCTGATTTAAATATTTTAATTTAAAAGGATAATATAATATTTTTTTATTATGGGATTTGGATAAAAAAATTTCTGGTTTAAATATTTTAATTTAAAAAAATAATATAATATTTTTTCAATATGGAATTTGAAACTCTTTCATATATATATATATTCTATGTTTCCATAAAAAAAATCATGTTTTTTTAATATAAAATAAAAATTCTTTTAATTTGAATACTTCAACTGAAAGGATAATATATTATCTTCTCAATATGGGATTTGAAGCCCTTTCGTATATATATTATATGCTCCCATGAAAGAAGTTATGTTTTTTTAGTGTGGGATTTGAAAACTATTAGTATATATATTCTATGTTTCCAAGAAAAAAGTTATTTTTTTTCAATATGAAATAAAATAAATTTTATTTAAATACTTCAACTTAAAAACTTAATTTAATATTTTTTTAATGTGGGATAAAAAAAAAATTTAAAATATTCTTTTAAACTTCGTTGTTTACAATATATATAATTTATATTTATATGGATTTGTTCATATGAAATATTAAAATTTTTATTGTTTTTAATTTTTTCAGGTTAACTCGAGTTGATCTATGAAACTCGAAACCTAACCCCTTGGTTAAGTCAATCCCTGAACCGGGTTTAATAACTATGGTTTATGGACACCAAAATAAGGAATTCTGAATTTCAATATGATGTTTTAAGCACTAAACTTCCCAAAGGTTTGAACATGTGACTGCCATTTACTACTAATAAGTTTCTGCCTTGCACTAGTGGAATTTTGCATCTTCAAAACACAGAAAAATTTCAGAAATTTGGATAGATAACCTATTCAACGATAGCCATCCTCTCGATGATTAAAACAACGGGTTTGTCCAGTATCTTTTCGTTCTCGAGTAGCGAGATAGGCAAAGGCTTTGCAAATTTTTAGCGGCAATAATCACGGTAATAATGTAGCAGTCCTATTGTTTTGATGGAGGTTAATCTGTCCCTTGATCATCATGTTGTGCCGACAAACCTCCTAGAAATGCCCAATGTACCTGTTGTTGTTGCTGTGTTAATGCAGCTAAAAGAGATCTCAACTGCACAATCTCTTGGTCTTTATACTCAAACTCTCGGATCTATGTACATGTTTTTATTATTCTCTTGCTCTGTGGTGAATTTTATCAATTATTTGACATATATGCTAAATTGCTAACTATTAATCCTTTCTATTGTTTAGTCATTGCAAATCATTTCTATATTTATAATTGGAGACTCGTCAACTTCAATTTTATTTTAACTTCAATATACAGATGTAATATGACCAGTTTTGTTATGTTTGATTAATTTTTGTTGGAAGCAGTATAAAGACTCGAATGTGAAAGTTTTATAAAAAAAATGCATGCATGGTGTAAGATTTTTAAAAACACATTTAAAAATGTGTAGGTGTTTTTATTATTTTTTGGGGGACATTAATTTTATTTTCTCTCTTCTTTTTGTATATGTTTTTTTTTTCAAAGTAAACCTTATAAAGTGACTAATAAAATACTATTAGTTATAGTTTGGATATCATAAAATTTTCAGAGGTTTACAATACCTTTAAATAGACTAACAAACTACAAAATAATAGAAATAAAGTGAAAAAAATATCAAACCACATGAATCCATCTAATTTTCCTTTTTTACTACTCTTTGTTTTGCTTATTCTCTAGCCAGCATCTTCTTAGCCACATGTATTTGGCTTGAAAAATATTAAATTAATGATGTTTTAGTGCTTTTTAATTATTTGTTACTGTTTGTTTTTGGAATTGTATTTGAATGTATTTGGCTTGAAAAATATTAAATGAATGATGTTTTAGTGCTTTTTAATTATTTTGATATGTTAATATTAAATATAAAAAAAATCTAAAAATTATTTTAATATATTTTTAAAAATAAAAAATATTTTTATAAAACACATTTAATCATACATTGCTAGCTACCTTCTTTCGTTAAATTTAATCTGTTTTTCGTTTTATATTAAAAGAAAAAAGAAGATAGAAAGGAAGGTACTAATTTAATGCATAGCCTTTTCTTTTCTTTCACTTGATAGTTGATATGATAGATTTTGCGGTAATTTATATTTGTTGATAACTTACCAAAAAATACTGCCAGTAAAAATAATCGGAAAACAATTTATAGCATGTCTAGGATTACAATAATAGTTAATTTTTAAAGTATATTTTATTTAAAAATATATTAAAGTAATATTTTTTATTTTTTAAAAAAATTATTTTTTATATAGTATATTAGAATAATTTAAAATAAAAAAATAAAAAATATGAAAACGTTTTTGCAACATGAAAACAAATAGGCATTTTGTAAAATGATTTTTTTATGAAAAAATCCATCTAATACTAATGATTATTTAGTCTAGGGGTGAGAAAAAAAATATCAATTA